AAAAGAGAAGGAAAATCATATGAGAACCAAAACATGGATAATAAACGATAAAAACCCTATAACCCGAGCGCTTTTGAAAGGTGGGCCTTTCTTCTTCAGGGGCAGAACATGACACAAAACATCTATTGTGTGCGCATGCGCTAAACTATCTATAGTGTGACTCGGGGCCTAACTCACAGAAGATTCCCTCTTTGTCCCTGAAGAAGAAAGGCCCACCTTTCAAAAGCGCTCGGGTTATAGGGTTTTTATCGTTTATTATCCATGTTTTGGTTCTCATATGATTTTCCTTCTCTTTTTCTCCTGATTTTATTAGTACAGCCTTTAGTTCCCACCCTTTTATGATCTAATAAACTACTAACATCACTTATAAGTCCAGATATATTTAACATTTATTTATTGAGTATATTTGGTACAGAAATATAACAACAGATCATTAAAATACTATAAGTACAGGCTATCGTTTAGCTCATTACCAAAAAAAAGCCCGACATGTAAAGGGTTATAAATAGATATTCTGTTTTCGGGAGTTTGTTGTAATCATGAACTTATTATATGCAATAGCTCTATTTAAAGATTTAATGTTGGAGAGTATAAAATATAATTAAATTTGTATGTTTATAGGAACTGCAATTAATTTTTTTATTAAATGTAAGTAGTTTTGTCTGTATTTATTTTTCAACTTTTAATAAAAGTTCTATTTTTTTTTTTGCGTAAGTATAAATAATTCATCTAAACTGAAATACAAAAAATTGTTAGAGGGATATTGTAAGTTTTCAGATTGTTGGTACAAGATCCTTTATTATTTCAATTTAGGTCTATCTTTAACTGTGTCTTTTAACAAACAATATTCCCGGTAATGTTTTTATTGTTCATGATCAATTATTTTAATATAGTGTCATCTCTAACTGCATCCAGCTACTGGTTCAAGATGTAGAAGCCACCTGTGAACCAGCTCTAACAGCAATGGTCAAGGTACAGTCCAATAGTTGGCTTTCTTTTGCGCTTACAACAAGTTTCTACCAGAAGAATATTGTAGCTTTGAAGTCCATGCTAGGTTATTAATAATTATACGTCATACTAGTGCCAAGTAAACTGTGCATCATTATTAAAAGTTATTTCTCAGATCTGTTAAAGGTCAGGTGGTCTTAAAGTTTCTGTTTTCTAGCTAACCAATTCTTCCAGTGCCAGGTTTATATTTTAAACACACGCAGGAACTTGTGTGGTTTCGTATGTTTCACTTATTACTTGTCATGTTAAAATGAAACTTTTCTGAGATAATTGACGGACGTATTTCATAGGTGATTATATGCTTAGAGTGTAAAAAGTATAAAGTAATCATTCGTGTATTTATATCCAACATTTGTAAATTAATATGCTATATTTATGATTTTTTAAAAAACATTACATGTTTCAATTCATGTTACTCGGCCCAGCATGGCCAGGTAGCTAGGGCGCTTGACTCGCAATCTGCGGGTTCGAATCCCCATCCCACCAAAGATGCTCGCCCTTTCAGTCGTGGAGGCATTATAATGTGACGGTCAATCCCACTATTCATTGGTAAAAGAGTAGTAGACAAATCTGTTAAACATGTCTACTTGACACACTGGATGTTCCACTACACCTAGACAAATCTGTTAAACATGTCTACTTGACACACTGGATGTTCCACTACACCTAGACAAATCTGTTAAACATGTCTACTTGACACACTGGATGTTCCACTACACCTAGACAAATCTGTTAAACATGTCTACTTGACACACTGGATGTTCTACTACACCTGTACAAATCTGTTAAACATGTCTACTTGACACACTGGATGTTCCACTACACCTAGACAAATCTGTTAAACATGTCTACTTGACACACTGGATGGACTTACTTTGCAAACTTGACACAGAACTGAGTGAAATACTTTCGAGATGCTGCAAGGTTGTCACGAAGCAAAGGTAAGGTTTGACGAAGATGACCAGTAATGGCGGTCACATAGCTACTCTGGTCACCTACTGTCTCCACTGCTGACCACTGGATCTGATATAATGTATACGTAAGAATGTCGTTTTAAGATTATAGAATCTGCCTTAACCTAGTACTGGATCGATCTACATAAATTTGTACTTGTTTTAGCCTCAACAGCATATGATAAAAATATAATTATATATATATATATATGTACAATTTTATACGGTATTACATAATAATGAAATGTTAGTATATTTTGGAACAAAAATGTTAAACATAACAGAATAATCCTACCATTTCTAGTATAAAACAATTGTTTATTGCCATGGGCACATACATACATACATATATATATATATATATATATATACAAGATACACTAGTTAACTTAGCTTTAAAATGTGCAATGTTAAGAAAAGTTTCAGAGTAACATGTTTTGGTTTGAATTTCCCGCAAAGCTACACGAGGCCTATCTGCGTTAGCCGTCCATAATTTAACAATGAAAGACTAGAGGGAAGGCAGCTAGTCATCACCACTCACCGCCAACTGCTGGAGGTGTAGTGGAACATCCAGTGTGTCAAGTAGACATGTTTAACAGAAGAACACCCAGTGTGTCAAGTAGACATGTTTAACAGATTTGTCCAGGTGTAGTGGAACATCCAGTGTGTCAAGTAGACATGTTTAACAGATTTGTCCAGGTGTAGTCGAACACCCAGTGTGTCAAGTAGGCATGTTTAACAGATTTGTCCAGGTGTAGTAGAACACCCAGTGTGTCAAGTAGACCTATTTAACAGATTTGTCCAGGTGTAGTAGAACACCCAGTGTGTCAAGTAGACTCTTCAATTTCAATTTTTATCAGATTTCACTTTATTTATTGAATTTTGTATTAAGTTTTTAAGCAACTTTTCATATATCCAGTTTATCACTCTTGTTGTTTTAAGCAGTAAGTGTTATGATGATTGAGATATCTATTTAACGAATGCGTGCCTCTAGACGATTCACTGAAATATTGTACAAAGTATGCTTCAGAATGTAGTGTTCTTTTATGATAGAAAGGCTTAAAGAAACTTATGTGTGTAAAAAGACCACAAGAATTAATAATGTGTCATTAAATGTTATTTTAGGAACACAGATTTCTTTGTCTTGTGAGAGTTCAGCAATCAGAGGAAACTGTAAAAAAAGTACTTACAGATTTTTTGTCTGTTTCAGCACGTTTATTCCAAAGTTCAATAACCATTTATTCAAGTGTAAGCCCATCAGTGCTGTAGGAGCTGAACAGGTATTTATCTTGAAAGCTTGTATGTATAATTGTTTAGGTAACTTGTGGTTATTACATTGTGTTTTGTGTGCGATGTCTATCATCCAGGTTACCCGTGTTTTGTGTGTGATGTCTATCATCCAGGTTACCCGTGTTTTATGTGCGATGTCTATTATCCAGGTTACCCGTGTTTTGTGTGCCACACTACACATTAGTTAGGAGAGAAAGAAAACATGATTACTAGACAAAATACAGGTACTAATGTGGATAACAGACACCGCACACAAAACACGGGTAACCTGGATAATAGACACCGCACACAAAACACGGGTAACCTGGATAATAGACACCTGGACTTCAGACTAGTAACCATGTTTTGTCTGCTAATTAACGTGTAGTGTGTCTGGACTTCAGACTAGTAACCATGTTTTTTTTCTATAAGCTTTTGTTGGATACCCATATGTTAAAGACAGTCTTGCTGGATCTTCCTACTTTAGGATCTCAAATGGTTAAAAAGGCACCAGCAAGGTGAGGACAACTTTTTCATTACTCTCATACGTAACAACTGATAATCGCATTGTTATTCATTCTTTTATATTACTCTTGCTATAGGTCCTATCAGTTTAAAGAAGACATGTTTACTTAATTCTTAACAACTTCCTAGTAAATATACTATTGCTTGAAGTGTTCTAAAAATAACAACAGCTTCATTTAGATTGTATAGAAATCTAAACCTTATTATTTAAGTACAAACAGCTTTTCTGTTGTCGTAATTGCTAAACCGTGAGACTATTTACTGCATGATAACTTATGGTATTTAATTGTTATGAAATTATAATTCCTAGTTGTTCGTAAAAGAACTTTTGTAGAGAAAGTGTAATCTAAAACAAAAAAGATATTTTATCCGTAGTTTAACTTTCACATTCTTTTAATGCGATGTGATGTGGTAATGTCGCATCCTTTCAGTGACATCTAATGTACTATTCCCATGTTCTTTCATTGCTAGGGACGTTATGTGTTGTTGTTTTTCTGATAGAAGGATTGTATTAATCAACTTTTGTATAAAATTTTGCTCTCTCTCTCTTTCTAACAAAAAATCTATAACTAATATTTTATTGAACTGTAAGTTATAGGTTTACATAATGGCACAGTAGATAAGGTAGTTAAGATTTCTGTATACGTTGTGCGAGACTAGAAAATCTTGTGTTTAAGAAGAATACAAGGTTAATTCTTATCTTTGCCTTATTCTTAGATAACAGGAAAACATTTTTTTTTCAAGATTCATCAACTTATGTTACAGGTTTGATTAGAATAAACTAGTATGTGGAGGTAAACCATGATTAAAAACTCAACAAGGTTTTTGAATCTTTTTTCTCTTTTATAGCTACACAAAAATTGTTGTCAAGGGAATGACTAAAGCAGAAATGATACTAAAGGTACGTTTAACAGACTAACTTCTTTGTTAGACTCTTTGTTCTTCCTCTATAAGAGTTCATAGATTTTTAAGTAATTGTAGAATATAAAATAATAGGGGGGGACACAGCTACGCGAGTGTTACAGGTTTGTTGTGTTTATTCTGGTGTTAGTGAATGACACAAGTCTAAGAAGGTGGTTACATTTTTTCCTGTAGAAATGTAGCATCAGTGTTTTGTTTGTTTGTTTAAGCGAAACATCATCATCATCATCGTTTTTTTTTGCTTTAGGTTGTCATGTCACCTCACGAACCTAACGAAAGCTTTGTCGAGAACTACATCAAACTATTACCGGAATCGGATCTTTCAGAGTTCCAGAAGGTTCTGGATATGAAGGTAAGTTTACCGAGGTTCAAAAAAAGGACCATCGTTTCTGACCACTACTGTATTTATTGTATCGCAGCAGGCCTGAGGGAAATACTATTACTGTACGCTCGTCTAATTCTTGAAAATCCATCAGGGACTAGATAAATAGTGTTTAAAAATATAATAGGCCTAATACTGATGTATTATGGCAGGTATAATTATAATCATGTTAAAACTTCAAGATTAGTTATTTAATATTAACATGTATGGTTGAGACTTTGTGAGGCTGACAGAGTTTATTTTTTTACACCTTCAAGCTGGATTATTCAGACTGTTAATAATAAGCAAGTCCAGCTTAGCTTGTTGTGCAGAGACTTGAGGCAAAAGTTAGGTCTGAAATGTTATTTTGTTACGAGTACCACGAACAAGAGAAACTGCAGTGTTATTATTTCTAAAGAAAGGCCATTTCGAGACTTCTAATATCCGATATGTTTGTAAGAAATATTTCCAGCTGATTGAACTTTCAACAGCAAATTCTATAATATACATTTCTTCCTGCAGGGTCTGCGTCGAAGCGAGTTAAATGCGTTGATGGATATTTTTCGTTCCGGCCTTCCAAATTCTACAGTGACCCACATAACCAGTAGCTCAAATACTGCGGGAGCCAGTCCAGAGAGGGGGTCAAGTGGAATCAGAAGGCTAGAGAAATTAATAAAGAAAAAATTCTAATAACTTATTCCCTGGATAACGTTTTCTCATTCGATGTATATACAAAGCTATTATTTGTGGCACGATTCTGAAATGAATGTTTCTTCTCTTGATGCACGAGATGTGAACACGTGCAAAATAAATTTGCAGAGAAATCTCACTCTTTGTCCGAGGCCTAGTTTGGAAAGTGGGCTGTTCAGCCCATGTTTTGCATTAGGTTTATTTTAAGGTTCCGTGCGTGTGTGCACTGTGTCAGCCCAGGAAACAGTCGTATAATTACAGAGAAATTTGTTTTACTGTAACAAGGTTCAGCAATATACAAGATTCCAAAGAGCACAGTTGATGCTAGCTGTTCAAACCTTGTCATAAAAATGTTAATAGCATGAACGGCAGCATTCTGAAGAAGTTCTTTAAAACGTTCAAATATTAAAAACAATATAGGCATGGTTAGAAAACGATTAGTGTAGGTACTCTATACATCAGTATTAAAATAATGAAACATCAAACATTTCTTGCTAACGAGAAATGACTTAAAACTTATATACAGTATTTGTCTTCGGTGAAGAGTGTGTAGACATTTTGATCTCAAACTACATACAAAATTTAAAACCGATTTAAATTTATTTAGTTATGACAGCTTTTCCTAAACTTTTATCATCTACACCCTCCCCCTCTTTTTTTTCTTTCTTAAATGACGAGATATAATACATAGATACACATTTAAATGTGTTATAGTAATTACTTATTTTTCATTAATAACACATATATTAAAACGCTTAATTTTGTATTATTTACTTCCCTAATTGCTCGCGGGGACCCAAGAAATATACCCCCCCCCCCATACTTTGGGAAAACGCTGAATTGTAGAGTAACTTCAGTTATGATAATAATGCCGAGACTGACCGTCACGTGGGATCTAACAATACGTTTTAACTAAGGCACATTATTGATCAGGTGTGTGGTAATAACTGAAACACACTTTCTCAATTATTACTTCGTTATAATACGGAAATAAACTATATTTCATCACGATTTTTGTACGGTTTGTTTTGAAGTTAAGCACAAAGCTACACATCTGTCCATCACGGGTATCGAAACCCGGTTTCTAGCGTTGTAAGTCCGCAGACATACCGCTGTGCCACTGGGAGGCCCCGTAATATAAGTCGCATCAAGCCTAACCCTACAACTAATGGGACTGATGTGATTTAAAGCTGCAATTTAATAATGAATTTAAGTCCTCTGTTAGAACTGTTCGGCAGATTATATACACAAGTCTGAAATAATGTTTTGTAGAAACAAGGAAGAAATATATTCAAAGACCAAACTTTCAAAATTAATTTGGGCATTAAAAGTTGTAACTATTATACAAAATTGGAAGGTAGATTAAAGGTGGTAAAAAAAACAAACAAGGTTTTTACTGGCCTACAAGAGTATCTAAAAATTAAAAGTTTTGTTTCGTCCAACATAAAAAAAAATTAATATATTGAAAATTTTCTTTCTCTTGTTGTGGTATGGACCTCTGACTAATTAAAAGCTTTTATATTTTATTTATTTTTTGGTCTCCATTTAAGGCGAACAATTAATTCAAAAGTAATATCTCCTAATTAATTTTTTTTGTCCATTTACTCGTCTACTCATCACCCCTACCGTCCAAAGTACTGCCTCCCAAACATAAAAAAAAATCTCTTAAAGGTACAGTATAACATTCCAAATCTCTACAAATAATAGGAAAAAGGATATATATATATATATATATATATTTTCATATAAAGTGTTAAGGTAAGCACGTTAAGAAATAACATACTTTACATGTATATATAAGACATATATATCAGATCAAATGTTAAAATCAAACGCACGTAAAAGTGCCTTTTGTAATTTGTGACAAAAATCCGTCAAGTTCTTTTGTCTATTCGAAGTTTCATATATTCGGAGAAACAGTCTCTCAAATTGACACGTAAATAGAAAATACATATGTATATTTCTTTAGCCAATTTTAAATAATACTTTTCAATAAACCTCGTATAGTAAACTACGTAGTCTTGTAAACGAAAAAAACAACAGATGGCGCTAACGTAGAGCGGGACAATTTTACGTAAAGAATAATAAAAAAAAAACTGTAAAATGTGATTTGGGAGTTTTAAAAATGTCAAAATATATTTAGAGATCTGTCCATAATACTGGATTTTCCACGTGAAACAACAAGTATAAAATGCTGGCACAGTTTAACAACACGCACTTCAAATAATAAACATGAAATATCGTCAATTTTTCTTGGTACACAATAGATCTGTAACACCATCGGGGTCAACACCACAAACAATTAAATAACCAGTATATATATATGTTCATCGTGGCTACGTTCTTCTCCAATCTATCTCTAGTAAAAACTAAATAAAAGTTGTTTAAATCTAGGGGAAAAACAACAACTTATAAAACTTAAAGCCGTAGCGTGTAAGCGTGCAACTCCAAAAGTTGAGTATAACACTTGCGATTGAAGTAGTTATTTCGAACGACGAGCTGTACAGTTATTTTTAACTGTTGTTGTTTTAAACACACGTATGAATAACTAGAACATAAAACCATAGTTGTTGAACTTTAGACCTGGTCTCGAAATCGTCGGTAGAAACTCTGGACGTACGTGAATACACATTTCCAGTCCGGTTTCTTCATCAGGACCATGTCGTCCACATCCAGCAGCGGCGCGATGTCGGCTTTTTCTCTATGAACAAATTACCGGCAACAAGGACGTTATAAACGTGTTTAAACTACAACTGTGTATTTAAATAGAACCAAAGAGTAGCGATAAAAATATATTCAACTCGTGCAAAATCTAGCAAGTTCTATACATAAAATACTAGCAATGATAGGGTGGAATGTAATGCTTTAAGTGGGAGCATGGGCCGGCCATTTCCACTATTTTGAGCCGTAACACATGATCCGTTCGTTATACAACTTCAGGTATGTTATCATCTTCACACATTGGGCCCTTATTATCGGGGTAAAATTGAAATAACTGACAAACTCGAACCCTTCAAGCGATTTCTTATTAAATCATTAAGGACCAGAACATTTTTGTCTTTAGCTTTAGAGACGTCGTATAAACATGAAAACCCTATCTGATAGCGTATTTCCATAGCAATCCTCTTAAGGCTGGGAACTTAGCACAAAACAGTGACGCTAGTTTAATTATTCAAATATCAACAAAATCTAAGTGTTGAAATTATAAATAAATCTCGATATGACTACATTTCAATGTTAACATAATCTGAAACGTTTAAAACAGTTCATTCATAAGTTTTTAATTTATAATAATATAAATTTGCGTCCTAAAATTTGGGCGTTGTTGGGTTGAATATTTGGGGGTTCCAGTAAAGTTCCGAAACGATACATATAAGAGATACCCTACTACTCGAACTCTAGCGAGATAAAGGGTTCTGGGATACAGTTTTTATTTTTCTCACCTTTGAAAACAACCAAGTTTCTTATAGATTCTACCATCTACTAGTTTAACGACTATTTTACGAATCATATAATTCTTAAGCTACATTACTCAGCGTAAAGAAAAAAAAAACAAATACAAATTATGTGGTTTATTTAAAAAAACAACATTATTTAACTTTTTTGCTATATTCTAGAAGAATTTTGTTATAGAAAAAATGGTTGCGTGTGTGAAATGCATTAAAAAAACATTTTAGCTAAATAAGGGTTAGGTAAAAAAATGACATGGCAACACATAACTAAACACTGTGTTCATCATTTCAGAGTTAGTTACAATTAACTATAAAACAATTGCTTATAAGAAGGATAAAATTCGGGTATGAATGTGCTACAAATACAACACGACGTATTTAAAGAACAAATTACAAGTTTGAGTTAAGCCTACATTGTTTGATAATGCCGTGTAGAGTGTAGTGATTTGGTAGTTTTCCACACGAACGTCGTTCTTATTATAACAATAAAATAATTCACAGTTACCAAAAAAAATATTAAACTTTTCAAAATGTAAATAATAAACTCTTACTCTGCCATTCTGAACCCCAAATCAAAATTATAACGTCGATTTTTTGGACTGAGAGAGTCAAAGTCAAATGCTTCCGGGTAAAAATGGTGGATAAGGGCACAGAACGCTAATCCGTCGCTCCAGCTGGTGGAGAAGTTTTGGATGTCAATGTTCTACATGGAAAGGGTAAATAAAAAATAACATAAGGTCAGGTTAATATTATTAAATTGTTCGTCATATCAAAAACTGATAAATTTGGAACAAATTTTAAAAACTACGATCGTGCGCTAACACAATATTAGGCCTATTGGTTTTACTGTTTCGACAACTGAAAATTATAATGTTGTCAAATATTTTAAATGAATAATAATAGTTATTTTCCAGAAATGTAGTGATAACGTTAGATTTGAATACTACAACGATATTTTAAACACCATTTAAAAAATATATATATTATAAGACTAAGATATTATCTGAATACACTGCAAACGTAGACAAAAAAAAATAGTTTTTCTTTATAATTAAAAACTTGTTTGATACTTTACAATTAGGTCTTATTTAAAAACTTCCATCGTCAGTAGGTTGTAGCTAATGATTTTTGTTTGGAAGCTTAAAAACTACTAAGGCCAAATGGCAGGGATCTTGTTAGTTTTTACGATGAATTTGATAAAAGCATTGATCACGATGTAACGTTTTTAATTATTAGAACATCCGCTTGGTGACTCATTCTGAAGGTTCTGCTATAATTTTTAACCACTGTCTTTAGAACGATACTCCGAAAATATGTGACTATGCTGTTTGGTTTCTTACCAACCACATCGTACCTAAAACTTAATGGTGTGGTCTTATTTTCGGAGTTAAATATTACATTTTTGGAGTTAATTTTAGTTTAACGCTCCAACTTTTAAAATAAATGTCGCGTTCTATTTTATCTCTTACTTGATGTTGACCTTAGACGAACCTTATATCAAAGACGACGCCCTCTATCGGCACACTTTTCATTCAATTTATTTCGTGCAACTTGAAAGTTATGCTGTAAGATCTTTAGAATCACTAAGTGTTCTATTGACAAAACATGCAACAATGTCGCAAGCAACTGCATCCGGTGACGTCAGCAACAATCAGTGTTATACCGACCTATGCTACGAACGTACAACAATCAATACACAAGTTAACAATAAAAGGTTACGCATGCCAATAAAATCTCTTACTGACATAAGCCATGAAGCCCAGATTATTATTCACCGAACTTCACCAGGTGTCGTATGACAAGTTTAATCACAAAAGATGGTAGAGCAAAGCTTTAAAAAAAAAAATCGTAAAATACAAAGAAATACTGTATGGGAAACCTAATCGCATAGTGAACGCCACACTGACCACACGTCCATGTAGTTAGTTGAATGTAACAGAAAACATGCAAAACGAAAAACAGGATAAAACAGCCGGTGGGAACATATGATGCTTATACTTCAGCGTGTTAGAATAAAGAACCTGGTTCTAATGTTGTTAAACACCTAGGCTTCGAGGGGTGGACGTTTCTTCGTCAGAAGCTCGTGAAAACACTTAAGCTAATAGCTACGAGATTTTCTGAGTCCTTTTTTTAACTCACCATATAGAAACATAAATTAATTCTGGTTTGGGAATTTATTAGCCGACGTTATACAGCGAACCAACAACACAATTTAGTGTGCGAAACGTCCAAGAAATTAATATTATAGCAACGAAGAGGGGCTTAACTGTTGTCGTGCACAAGCTAGCGGTAAAAACGTTCACATTTAATTGTTAAAGTAGAAATTAAGGGTGTTAACGTAAGAGGAGACGTACGTATCATAGATAAACTGTTCGTGATTTCACGTTAACAATGATATTTTTTTTTTTTTACATTCAGTGACAATAATTTGATCAAGAAAGGTCATGCATGTTCAACGAAAATGTGCCGAATAGCTAGGTGAAGAGAAAATGACATGCGTAGGGGGTTGAAGGAATCAAACCTTGTACTCCTTCGTCTTGCTACGACACCAGTGCAGTAACATTTCCTTGATGTCGCTGGCGCTGCGGTTTACTCGACGAGTCTGGAAGTTACTGGGTGAGGAATAGAAAGAGAGACAGAAAGCTTGTCAGTTAGTCAAGTCGTAACATTACAATAAACATTAATTAATATACTGGTGTTTAATTTAAAATCTAGAAATTCAAGTACAGTCCGAGGCTGAACAACAACAAATGTACCCAGGGATGTGGTATCCTCTTTGTAAAGTGAACGTGGTTTGATAACGCAACGACGTTGTTTCGTTCCTTCTTTCAATGATGTTACTTTTTTTATTACTACTTTACTACCAAATAAATTAGGTATAGAACTTTTACTAATACACGTTAGATCCTTACCAATAGCTATTTTCCATTCAAGTTAAGCCTTTAATTTTGATATTTCACAGCACCCTTAAAAGCGTGAAACAACTTTAAAAAATACTGTACTCAGCACGTCTTTAAATATTATGGGTAACCAGTTAATCTTACAAACATATTTACTAGCATGAGATAACTTACAAAGATGTTTCCTTACTCTATGGCCATATTCTTATAAATTACAAGCAAAAGTACCCGTCCCCAGTGAGAGGAAAAACTTTAGTTGATTTATCAATTTAAATTATTTCATGAACTTTAAAAAGTCAATTGTGTTGCATTCTTGGTTTTACTCAGAGCTAAAGCTCTGAGCTACTTATACCCCCCACCACTAAAAGTAATTGTTGAGTACATCAGTCTTGCTAAGAGCCGTTCAACAATAACATCCGATAAATCCACATTTATATTCTTTAAGTTACGTCACATTTTGAAATGTGAATGATAATACGATTAATTCCTAACAATTTAGTGTAGAATATCCTGCTTGCGAAATAAAACTTGGCACCAACACTATTCATGCCTGTTCTCCCGTCATTTCAAAAGTGAATGTTGAGCTTTGCCTGCGTGCGCAGCTTTTCAAAGGCAGCGCGGGACGCCGTAAACAGGAGAGAGACAAACGTACGGACAGACACCACGGTTCGCAATATATCTAAGCACACAGACAAATTACGTACACAAGACAACGTACCATTGGTAATCTAGTGACGTATGTCTGAAAGAAAAATAGAATTTTCTGCGAGGTGAATATTTTATTTTATTGTATTAATTATAAAGCAACAAAGTATTACAACCTCGACAGGCTTGAAGAAGCTTGTATACGTTTTTAGTTGTTGCTGACTGTCAACCATGCACGAAATTAAACTGAAACTTAAAAGTTTGAAATACATCACGTGTTTCCTGAAAATAAAATAATACGTAGTTCAGCTCTACGACGTTAGGGATTAAATACTGACGTGTACCTGAAAAAAGAAAATAAACTGTGAAACACTAGAACAAGTCTACACGTAATAAATAACACTTAGATATCACGTAAAACAGCTCAAAACGTTTGACGTTTCGCAAATGTTGACATTTTTACATCGGGAAACATCCTTTTTATAGCTGGTTGTTTTATATGGATTTCCAAGATGGCGACATTTCCCATAACCACCTGTAACAAGAAGTACATACGTCAAATCTAAAACAAAGGTGCTAACCTTGTACTCCCGTGTGCATCGTTGACAAAACTCCAAGATGGTCTGCTTGATCTGGCTGGCGTTCTGGCGGATCACCGGAAGTGGCAAGACAAAGGGGCTAAAGCATGCAGGTGGGAGCATGCGCAAACGTTAGTTTTTGTTTAATTATCGTACGACAGTACACACACATTATGGAAATAAATTACAGATGTCTTGCTGTTTTGTTATATACAATATATATAGATATGATATTCACTCATAATTATAATAAGTAAACAAGAGGGTAAAACCAATGGTTGGTTAATTACATTTAAAATTTGAAGTGAACAAACGAGAGTTAGGGTTAGAACCATTTTCTGGGGGAAAGAAAAAAAAACACACCAATCTAGATAAGATCAAGTAACAGGTTAGATTAGACACAATGTACACCCGGTACAACGTTGTTTTTTTTGTTTTTTTAGCAAGGTTATGTTACAATAGTTAGAATCAATTTACATACTGACTGACTGGCTACTTTTTTAGAATCCCACATGTCCACGTTTGTGGAACACTCCATTCATGTGAATAGAAAACAAAACCAAAACCCGTTGATCGTGTGATATTTCAGGTGACTGCTTGAGTAACAGGAATGCTGATATATATTCACGTCATGACGAGAGTATCGTTAGTTTTCTAATAGAAACGTCATTAGCAAAACCTGTTTCATCGACATCGGTCAACAGTAACGGCTGAAATGGAATACGTCTATCACTTGGTAAAATAATCGATGTTGACAACGGGAGATATGATGACTGGTCAAGTTTCTTAAGCTCAACGCGATATTCATTTCACTTTCACCCTCTCATGCTACAGACATTGCTAATCGATCTGAGATGCAAGCAGTAATTTTGGTGCTAAAACTGTGAATGATTGACGTAATCTGATGATTCGCATCTCACACACATTTCTCTATTGACGGATGTCACATGACAAGTGTAAGATGTTGGAGATGGTATAATGGTGTGGGGAAAGTTGTTGTTCCATTAGAAAGGCGAATAACAACCTGAGTGTACCTCAATTTTACCGATAGTCATGTCCACTCCAATACTGTATTTCCACTTTAATGTACAAAGATTCAGTAATAATAATACAACAGTCAGTCATACTCATCTTAAATTTATTTACAGTAACTTCAGACACCTTCCTTGGTTAGATAAATAACGGTTCTCAATCCAATTTACCATCTTGTAAAGGATATGTCACGCCGGGTCAAGACTGTGATTCTAACCATACCTACTCCTGGATGGACGCCTCTTACCACCTTGTAAAGGATATGTCACGCCGGGTCAAGACTGTGATTCTAATAAAGTTTCTAGTCAGCGTATTAATACTAGTTAGTTAGGCTTAGTTAAGGTTCGAGGCGCTCTCTTGTTGCAGAAAAGTTATTGTTTTTGTTAAAACTACTACAAAAAACACATTCAAGGGCGCCCGCAAAAAAAACAAAAATATATATTAGGGGAGTGGGGAATCAAGTAACTCAAGTTTGAAAAAAAATTATGAAATCGAAATACAAATACCTTATGATTTTCCAATAACATAGAAGAATAATTTTACAGATCTAGTAATTTATTCTTTCTGAAAATCCAGGGGGTCAAGTGACCCCCCCTTCCCCCTTCCTGCGGGCGCCCATGAACACATTCGATCACTCTAGGCTTTATATTAAAGATAGTTTTCCATTAACACACATACCAAACATATAATATTTCAAATTTTTTATACAATTACTTACCAAAGTTTATCAACAATAAACAAACTTAAATTTACAAATTTTTGAGGCACGTGAAACTAGTGGCTAGTTATTAGTAGTATACTTGCGAAACTAGGTCCAATAATTTCAAATGACAAGGAGGTGGAGCTTACCCTTGACTTGAAGCCGAACCTAGGGGTCTTGGGGTGGGTCAAAAAGTTACCCGGGTCAAGATTCAGCCCCGCTTGTTTGTCATTTAATTTCAACCTATCCGTGAAAAATATGCTACAGTTATTAAAACTAGGGTGTATAAAAAGGCCCCCTTACTTGGGAGTTTTGTTCCCTTGCTGCTTCGTGACAGCTGCATCCATTTGCTGAAACTTTGCTCGTGCCGAGACTTTATTCTGATTGGCTGAAAGTCAAAGAGAAAGCCACACTGAAAATCATATTTTGATTTATCAAATTAAAATATATGTAAATATTACCTCAAAATTCACCCTCGCACTTACACCTCACTCTGACACAAGGCATCAAAATGGATTTCTTGAAATACATTTACTTACGTTTACTTGTTTTTAGCATAAAGCTACATAATAAACCATCTGTTCTCTGTCCGCCACGAGGATCGAAGCTCAAAGATTAGTATTACAAGTTCTTAAGCTTACAGCTGAACCACTGGTGGATATTTTGACTCGCGACTCACAACCTATCGTCAGTTTTATCCGTGTACGTCCGTTCTGTTACATCTACTACTTTAATTGTCTCCACTCACGAGCTGTCAATCACGTCGTATCGGAAATATGGGATTAAAGCCGAAAGTCATTCCAAAAAATTAAAGTGTTAAGCCTCTCCCCTCCGAAGTTCGCGACATAACCAATCCCAGGTTAGTGACAAACCTAGAATATGTAACACTGGAAAATTTTCGAATTTATTAAACTTATACTAGAACAACAGCTATGGATTAGGGATTCCGTTCTGTGAAGACTAGTAAGTTTTTTTTTTTTACTAAAGATTTATCCAACACTCTTTGTTATATTTCTTTGACCAATATTATCCATTTTCTAGCTCAAACTCAACTGTTTTTAGTTCGCTCTTTCCTCTTTTAAAGAGTAGAAAACGAATGTACGTCACTATGGTTTCTATTTCTTACAACTCTGAAATGTAAAGGTGTTTTAAGTGCAATAAAGTCGATGTAAGGGTGACTATTATGGGATATCCATTGAAATAAAGCCATCACGATGTTAAAGAAGACCGACCGTCCATTGTTCACTTTACTAAAACAGTTTTGTTAAGTACATTTTGTCTGTTACTGTTCTAATTTAAATACTTCTGGTCACGTTTACACCGACAATAAAAATCCTCCATCAAGATAGGTCAATTTTTGAAACTCAGTTTGAAAGTTATATAAAAACTAGCTTCGGTTCTGACAGTCAGTTTGGAAGTTATATAGAAACCAGTTCCGGTTTCTTACTGATTCTAGAAGCTTTAGAATCCAAGTCTAAATCCCAGTGAAAAATTATACCACCGGATATGGTGATGATTTTTTTTAGATGATGGTCTAGTTACGTTGTAAATTCAGGGTTAAGAAGAAAAAGGAGAGCTACATTAAGGTCAATGGAAACTAGGACAAAGGTTAGGATGATGATAAATATCTGAAAATTGTTAATGATGAAAGAGACTATAATATCATTAATAATATGGTTTCGTAAACCCTAGATATCTTCAATTCGAGGTCACCTGAGTAAACGATCTTTAACGGTATGCTAAAAATATTGGATTTTATTATTTAATTCTGCCCATAGGCCTTATTCGCGATCTCAATGTCGCTAGCTCAAAACGAGGCTAGGCCTGCTGCAGTGCTACCGTAAACATGGCGACCGGAATGAATGAATCCACTAAGCCTGACTTTGGCACACAAACTTAATCGCCAAACAAAAGGCCGTTTTGAGGTGCTGCAGACCATTAGCTACCTCTGTGCACACAATACCATTTCTTATATAAAGCCAGTTGCCAATAAACAGCTGAAACTATAAGTTCGTCTTGATTGATTCAAAATCTAAATAGGCTTTAAAAATAATGCTAAATTAATGAATATTATCCAAATTTCAAATAAATTTAGGGATGAAGGCGACAGCTATATTTAAAAGAGTGAGATATAAATCATTGTTACGGTTTGTACGCCCCTTTTAAAACCGGCATAAAACTATTACAGTTATGTTTTTAATAACACATTAGTACTAGGCCTATTACATTTTAAAACACTCCTCGAATTCTCGAAAATCCCTATGGGACTATATACATCTAAAGAATGTAGTTTTTTTAAAAAATGTAACAAGCCTAATACTAATGTCTTATGACAAGTATATATAAATGATACTTCAATTTAAACACTTGCCTCCATTTTTTTTAGAGGCTTCAAAATTTACGTCCCGAATTGTTCCTGCTGGCCCCGATTTCGCTGCTACGTCGTAAGACGATAAAATTCTTCTCTTTCTCTCTTCTGCTTCTTTCTGACGCTCACGAATCGACTCTTCCACCAGATCGCGCTGCAGTCCCCCTCCAATAGGACGGTTGTCATTATTTAAACCGGGTTTGCCTAGGGAAAAAAAAAACAACGAAAATCGTTACTTAAGTTCTATTTCTGCAGTTCGCTTTACACTGAATGTGAGATGAGCTTCGAATATTTTCTAAACTTAGTTTTCAGTCATGTCTTGTAAAAATACTGTTTTAAATGGTTATTTTTGGTTTAACGGAGAAAGAGGGTATAATGAGATCGTTATTCAACAGTGAATTGTAAAAGTTTCCATGAAGTCGTTAAAATAAAGAACAACAATGAAGCGTTTGATAAAACGAAAAGGTTTGGTTTCTTTTGAATTTCGCGCGAAGCTACACGAGCGATAACCAGCACGAGCGAGCTGCACGTGAGGATCCCTCTAGGTTGTTAGAAGAAGTTGTTTGTCATGGTATTTTCTAAATCATTTTTAATTACTTCCTTTTAACTTAAAGAAAAACGTTTCGTTTTTTTATAAATGCGTGGCCTAGTAGTTAACGTGCCACTTTGGGGTGGATGTGTTATAAGTGTGACGGTCAAATCCCACTATTTAATTAAAGTAACCCAAGAGTTGGCGGTGGGCGATGTTGACTAGCTGCTTTCCCTCTAATCTATCGGTTCCAACACGGGGGGACGGCTAGGGCAGATAGCTCTTGTGTAGCTATGCGCGAATATCCGAGACAGAGGAACAAACTCGTATGTGTTAGTATGTAAAACATAATTATTTCTCTAAATCCAATGTTCACCCAAGTGTGCGCAAAAACGTGTTTTTTTTTTATAACTAGTAATAATTTTCGGGCTGAGATGAAAAATGTCAGCTATACAGCACAGATATCCCATTGTGTAGCTTTGCGCTTAACAACAACAAAAAAAAACAACAACTTAGATTGATAGTAGTTTAACTTCAAGATGAATATCTATAAGAAAGCTCGAAACCTTTCCAATCTGAGAGTCGCGGGTTCGAATCCCCGTCCCACCAAACATGCTCGCCCTTTCAGCCGTGGGGATGTTATTATGTGACGGTCAATCCCACTATTCGTTGGTAAAAAGAATAGCCCAAGAGTTGGCGGTGGGTGGTGATAACTAGCTGCCTTCCCTCTAGTCTTTCTTTCACTGCTAAATTAGGGACGGCGAGCGCACATAGCCATTAAGTAAATAATTCAATTGAAAGATTAAGTTTGACTTATCAAACAACGTGTTTTTAATGCAACTATTTTACAGTCAAGAGATCTCGTAACCGTTTTGATTTTACAGAGCGTAAAAAACGTTAAGATTTGGGAAGGGAATTTCCCAAAAGCACAGTTTGGGGCCAAAACAAATAATTAGTCCTATTCTAAGCCCTAATATGTTAATAACCCAAATAACTATTATCAAAATTTACTATGGTCATGCACGACATGTTTGTGAGTTATAAATGGCTAACATACGACTTTCGACAGGAATTTTATTATTGGTTGATCACAATAATCTGGGAACCAGAGCTTTTCAAATAATAATATATACAAAATCGTTAGTAATAATAATAATAATAAAAAAAAAACATGCCAAAAAATCACCAGAAACGTGTATTAGTCTTTTATAAGAAAGTTACTTTTCAGCGCTGGGTAAGTTGCCGAATAAGTAAGTAACCATGCTCACTTCTTAAATAAATGACTTTCTTTCTACTAGCCGATACCTCACATTTCTTGAAGCTATTGATACTTATTGATTCTTTCCAAGTGTTATAGCTAACCCTTTCGGGAGGTGTTAATGTTTCTAGATTTTCTCCGCGAGTTTCAAATCACATCCCATGTGAAAATTGATACCTAAGTTGTTGTTTTATAAATTATAAGTAAAGAAAAAAACAACCCTTTCCTGAAGATGGAGATATTCACAGGATTTCTGCACGTGTTTCAACTCACCATCTTTGTAGATGTTGATGTCCATTTGCTTAGGACCTCCGGCCGGAGCTGACTTGGCCATGCTGTCAAACATAGCTAAAGTTCGCTGTTTCTGTTCTGCCGCTTCGCGTTGGCGTTGCTTAATGGCATCCTCACGTTCCTGTTCTCGCTTTTTCATCATTTCATCTCGTTTTGCTACATCAACAAAGGAAACAAAAGGAGCTAAAGAAACTAGCCATCGCATGAGAACTTTGATACAAGCTTCTCACACGAAGTTTTGTTTTACTTTGTATCAGAAATTAGTATCTATAATACCCCAGAGAGGTTATACAAGTAAAAACTGATTATAAGAAGCGTGCAGTAAATTTATCATCTCCTTCGGCTGTTTTCTCTTAGTAAAAGTATCAATCCAGTTTAGTTACAAAGACAAGGATCTGTTGTTATGGTTTGGATAATCTAGAATTTTAGAAGACTCCAAACAGTGAGGTTGAACACTAAAAACACAGACTGGAAAAAATGCCAACAATAAGAGTCGAAAATTGAAACGGGTTAGAAGACTGTAAACAGTGGAAACTGCCAACAGTAAAGTTATAAGGTTGTCAAGGGTGAGATAAAGGGAAACGGTAAGGTTAGAAAACGACTAACAATGAGGTTGGAATAAAGGAAACAGTAGGGTTAGACGATGGAAACAGTAGGGTTAGACGATGGAAACAGTAGGGTTAGACGATGGAAACAGTAGGGTTAGACAATGGAAACAGTAGGGTTAGACGATGGAAACAGTAGGGTTAGACGATGGAAACAGTAGGGTTAGACGATGGAAACAGTAGGGTTAGACGATGGAAACAGTAGGGTTAGACGATGGAAACAGTAGGGTTAGACAATGGAAACAGTAGGGTTAGACAATGGAAACAGTAG